GTTGGCCCAGGATCGAGCATTGTTTCGTTCTGCTGTGCATGGGGTCACTATGAGTCGGTTCCGACTCGATGGCACCTGACAACAACAACAACAACAACAGCAATGAAGACACCAGCTGAGCTAGGACAGGTTCTAATGGCGCCTGTTGACCTTGAGGTGAGAGAATAGTGAAGGCTGGCTGGGAGTTGTATGAACTCCTGAGCCAACAGGGCACTGATCTAACCCCTGGGGGCTAGGGCTCAGAGTGAAGGGAGCAGTTGGTCTGAAGTGCAGAGAGGTGTGTGTAAACTCCCAAACTTGCAGCAGGTACCCATTTGACCTAGCTTGGATGGCTGGGGCTGAGTTATGAACAGAACCTGAGCAGATGATGATAAAGATGTTTGCTACTATAAGTGTCCATTGCTACAATTTGATGAACTGAACTTTTGCTTATGGATGCAGTTGCTTAAAATTTCAACTGGACTGGAAGATCCTTCAGATCCAGGACATGCTTGTCTCGCCAGTGTACTGGGTTGATAAGGATGGGCAATTTAGACATTGGCTATCAAAAATGGCATGGGTATGGCTATAAAGGAGTCTTGGTGTGGTGCTGTGTGTTAATGTGCCAAATGGCAAAGCCATTTGAACTGCAAGGTTGGCGGTTCAAGCTCACCAGCTGCTCCTCGGAAACTCTATACAGGGTCACTATGGGTGAAGTGACTCGACGGCACTTCACAACAACATGGCTATAAAGGCATGAAGTGACTGACTTAAAAGCTTTCATGAGAATGGTTAGTTTTTAAATGAGGAAGGAATGGTAGAATTCCCACTGACTAGGTTTTTTCTTTTCCAGTTGGGTCTGGAGAAAGGGGTGGAGGATGAGGCTTATAGGATTTTATGATTAAATTATGAGTAATTATTAGCAGGGTTAATTGTAATAGTCAAAACTGTAATGTAATGTGTCATTAAAAGGAGGGAGTAGTTAATCTTTCATTTCTGGAAAGATGATCCCAGGACTATCAAGAAGGAAGAGCATGAATAGAGTGTGGAATACCTGACTGGAAAAGTGGTGATGGTACAGGCGGTGGCTTGGAAAGATAGAACAGCTGCAGACTCTAGGCCCAGGGACTGAGTAACATTGTGTGCCTACAGGCAGGAGGCTGACTTGTAGAATGTGCCCTTTAGACATTTAAATGAACCTGTGTTTTTTGCTTTGTTTTGTATTTGTGCATCAAATATTTTTGCTTTGTTCATTTGTGCCATGTAAGATGTAAATGGGGCCAGTGTGTTTTCTGTAGTATGTGTCTTAGTTATGTCATGCTAGCCTCAAGTATGATTTTACAATTTTCATTATTTAGAGATTATGCAAATAGTTTATAGGTCTCAAGCTGACAAGGGTGGGCTGTACTAGTTATGGTTCTGTATCAACTTGACTAGGCCAGGATTTCCAGAAGTTTATTAGTTGGACTTCTAGTGTGGAGCTGTAGGATCAACACTGGACTGCAAACCACAAGGTTGGCAGTTCAAACCCACCAGTTGCTCCTTGAAAACCCTATACAAGGTCGCTATGAGTTCAGAACTTGTTCTGGAACTTAACAACAACAACAATAGCAGTTGAGATGTGCTTATTCCCATGGTGATGAAACCTAATACAGACACAGTTAACTGTATAATGAATGGCTATGTGCAGCCAATCAATTGCTTCCTTGGAGGCGTGGCCTGCTCCCAATATAATGGACACACATGAAAGTTTCTCTCTTTCTTCTGCTGAGGACCTGGGACTCTAAGTCATTTCTTTGATAATAAAATTATATATATAATTCACTGGTTTCTCTAGAAAACCCAGCCTAAGACATCAGCCAAGTTGATACAGAACCTTAACTATTACAGCCAGCATCACTGTTGCCTCACACCACAGTGACTATTACTGCCAGATGTACACTATCAATACACAAAATAGTTGGACAGATTTTCATTCTGGCTGTAAATGTGAAATGTTGAATAATGAGATAGTTGGTTAAGTGATGAGTTGTGGGTAGGTACTGATGAGTCAGTTCCCACTCACAGTGACCCTGTATAAGGTTTCTGAGGCTGTAAATCTTTATGGGAGCAGAAGCCTCATCTTTCTCCTGCAGAGCAGCTGGTTGATTTAAACTGCTGACCTTGTGGTTAGCAGTCCAGTGCTTCTCTAACATTGCCACCAATGCTCCTTAAGTGAGGAGTAGGTGTATCTTAAAAAGAATACATGTGTGCCGTTGTTATTGTTGATAAGTGCTGTCAAGTTGGGTCTGACTCATAGCAACCCTGTATAGGGTTTCTGAGGACTGGCTGGTGAGTTTGAACTGCCAACCTTGAGGTTCAAACTGACCTCATGGTCTAGTGCTTATCCTATGGCACCATGCACATACACACATATATGTGTATATATACAGATTGAGAAACGGAGTTTGTTGGGGATATTAGAGAAGGTGGGATTGAAAGAAGTTTCCACTTGCTTCTGGTTAAGAGAGCAAAGCTTCTGGCTAGCATTTTAAAAGGTGATTTAAAAGAATAGATGGGGTATAATGGAGTTAGCAGGGAAAGAATAATCAATCAGCTTCCAAAAATTTTCAAAAGTCAAAACACTCTGAGTATAAAAGTCTATTTCCTTCAAGCAGAAGACAGATATGGCTCAAGCCTGCCCCCGTCAGCACTGCCACCAACACTGCAGACTTCAAAGAGGAACCTTACCCTCCAGGAATGCCCACTTTTTAGATCCTCATCCACCTCTCTTTGGCACACAGTTCTCACAGCCAAACAGTGTGGTTTCCATAAGAAGTCACTGTTTCTTATCACGTCGTTCCAGCTCCTGCATGTCATGGAAGCCCGGCACATACTCTGAATGTCCAGCTGACCGAAAATGTTTAAAATGACTTCTGGAGGCAGTTGTTCAAAATAGTTGTTTTCACTCTCTTTTTTCTTCTCCTCAGCAGCTGCTGAGCTCAAGCGTATGTCAGAAACTCTTGAATAATTGTTCTTCTTGGCGTTTTCCTGCATAGTTTGATGTTTTAGTAACTCCTCCTCATAGATAACCTAAAAAGCACAATTTAAAAATACTCAGTCCTTCTGATTAGACTCTAGATTTTACCTTTAACCAGATACTTTTGGGTTCAAATAGCTGCTGCTGTTTTTGTTACATGCTGTTGTGTCGGTTCTGACTCATAGGGACCCTGTATAAGGTTTCTGAGAGTGGCTGGTGAGCTTGAACGGCTAACCTTGCATTTCAAACTGACCCTGCAGTCCAACACATTAATCCACAGTGCCACACCAGAACTCCAAATTGCTATTAGAGGTGTGGTTTAAAGAATTTTAATGCTTTCAACATCAGCTTCATAATATCTAAAACAGTCCAAATATAATCCTTTCCTGTGCAACATCCTTGTTGTCTTTGCCAGCACGAACCTGGATGACATGGAAGCCATCTTATCACATGTGTATTGCACATGACAGACATTCAACATCTTTATAATGGTTTTTGCAAAACATGTTTGTCTCTAAGAAAACATTTAGTGTACTCCCTGAGAACATAATCTAAAAGAAAACAAAACAAAACCATTCTTCATATGTTGGACCATGTTTGTTGAGTTATGTATCAACAAAGACTACTGTGAGAAGACACTTGATTCTCAGTATTAGCTTTAAAAGGAGCTCTGGTCGCACAGTAGGTTAAGCATTGGGCTATTAACTGGAAAGTCAGTGGTTGGAATCCACCAGCTGCTCTGCAGGGAAAAAGATGAGGCATCTGTTTCCTAAAGATTTATAGCCTCAGAAACCCTAGGGAGCAATTCTCTTCTGTCCTGTACAGTAGTCTACGAGTCAAAATGGACTCATGCGCAGTGGGATTAATTTAAAATACTGTCAATGTGTATGATTCAATCCTGTTAAGTACCTGAATAGTTGTTGTCTGTGGTGCCTTGCCATTAAATTCTTAATTTCATAATATTTGATTTAATCATAAACCTGATGGATTTTCTGTGGTTTCTTTTAAGAACTGTTTAGCAACTTTGTACTTAGAGGGTAGCTATTCACATTAGACAGCAACACAACTTGAAATTGACAAGAGGTTGAAATCAGAGTTAAAATGACACAAAGTCTTTCAAGTACCCAATTCATTTGGCCCCTTTAAGCTCTCCTAAATGCTTAGCTGTTAAAAGCTAAGCATAACAGTCACTGAGGTCATCAAGCATCAGTGACTAAGGACTATAAACAATATTTACAACTCAGCTGGATATCACATGTGAGTAATACAACACGTGACTTCAGCTACTTATCTACCGGTGCATGATGGATGTTTTGGAACTCAGTTGACAGTATGACTACCCTGACCTATTTTTGCACATAAACACAGCACCTATTGATTTACAATCAGTTTATTCCTTCTGCACTTCCTTTTTAATGGTAGTGAGAAGGGTTTATTTCATCTCTGCTAATGATTACTTCCCTTCTAGAAACGCTTCTCAGTTACAAGTTTTGGGGGTTTGTCAAGACCACAGTTGCTCCCAGTCATTAGGTTAGCTATGGCCCAAAGTATCTGTTAATCAAAATCTTTCTGTGTTTGTTCAACTGAGACCTTCCTCTCCAGGGTCTGATTTGATGAAGTAAGAAAGCTCACACTAGCAAACAAGAGCATGAAACAAGATCAAGTTATTATTATTATTTTTTTTTTGCCATGTACCAGCATATCCTCCCATAGGTACCACAAGCTAAGGCCAACCATACTCTTGGAAGAATCTCCTAAAAGGAAGAATCTCCTAAAAGCGCTCAATCAGTTCCAACTCATAGTGACCCTGTATATGGGTTCCTAGACTGTACATTTTTACCTGAGCAGAAAGTCTCATTTTTCTTCAGCAGAGCAACTGATAGGTTTGAACTGCCTACCTTGTTATTCTTAGTCTGGCTTATCCTACAACACCACCAGGGCTCCATTTGTATGTATTATTAAAAGTTTTTTCAAACGAATTTACTGTCAGCCCTGTCCCAAATAATAACCCCAAATGCTGCTTTCTAACACGGGTAGTTACTGATATAAAACGTCAGCGGCAAACATACCACTCTGGCAAAACAGGAGAGTATTTATTTCACATCCCAAATGGAAACTGTAAACCTCCTAAGGTTTACATCCCAACACTAGGGATCCAGCAGCTTCCTGAAGCTTAGCAACTTCCACAAGACCCAGATCAGTTCACAGCAAATCAGGACACAGGCAGGATGGAACTTTACTTACCTATATCCTAACCCTCCCAAGCTCAGAGTATGGTCGTAGAAAAGGCAGCTGCACTGCTCACCTCAAACCACCTTCTCCAGTGCTTCTCACCTCCTGAAGGCAAGACGCTACCTCAACCGCTAAGTGGCGCTAGAGGTCCACGTATGGTGCTCAGGGAGGTGGGAGACAGCAGCTCCTACCAGCCCAGCGCTGCAGTCTGAGCTCCGGGGTCTGGGCTCCCTAAAGGGTAAGGCATGGGGCGCTGGGGAACGGCTCATCTCTTGGGTTGCCCAGGGCCCCTCGTGGCGAAGATCCCTGACCCAGGGGGCGCCGGCTTATTCGCAGGGCCTTAGATTACAGGATGATGCAGGTAGCCCACTGATGTTGTAGGAACCGTCAGGTATAGTTTACTCAACTACAGTCCAGGTGTGGCGCTGCAGGATAATGTCCTGGACTGCACAGTTGGTTTGAACAGCAAGCTTGATGGTTCAAGCTTACCAGCCGCTCATTAGTAACCTTATACAGGGCTGCTATGGGTCGGAACCAACTTGAGGGCACTTAGCAACAACAGAGCGTTACTGTACACATAAATACTTACTGTTACTTCTCCCAGGATCTAAGTAGGGACTCAAATGTTTCTGTCCATTTTAGGAAGGTGCCCTGGTGGCGCAAGTTTGGTGATTCTAACCCACTCAGTGCCTCCGCTGAGAAAGAACTGACAATCCGCTCCGGTAAGTGCCATCGAGGGTTTTCAAAGAGTGGCTGGAGGGTTTGAACCGCCGACCTTGTGGTTAGCAGTACGGTGTTTATCTGACAGCCCCTCATCAGGACTCCCAAGATTACACCTAGAAAACCGTATGGGGTAGTCCTGCTCAGTCATATGAGGTCACAAGTTCAAATCCACTCCGTGGCACTTAAGATACAGGAGGAATTCTACTGGCAGGGATTTAACATTGGAGTGTCTTGACCCGATTCCTAAAATCTACTTGCACTTAACAACATTTAAGTCCAAGGGTAACCTTTCTAAAACTATCCATTTCCTGCCCTTTCAATACCGTTGAACCAAACTATGCTGAATTAATTCTCCAGTTAGCTAAGGGAGGGGCACACGCCGCCTGGCACAGAGTAGCTACCTGGGGAGACCCCACCCTGACCTGACCCCGCAGGTGCCGAGGGATGACCACACATCTCACCTGAGCCACCGTCTTTTACACTTCCCCCTCCATGCCTGCCCTCTCAAGCTGCAGCTGTCAGCGTCCAAGGTAATCGGACATTTGAGGCTGACAAGTGAACAAACAACTATGACAACCGTCAGCGCCGACTGTCATCGCGACTCCCAGCTTACGAAGGAAGACTGCGCTTGCGCCAGAATCACCGCTCGGAGCAAGTCGGCGCCAGACCTTCGGGAAGGGAGAACCCTCCTACCTACTGGCCAGTGCCGGTCTCTTTTTTTCAAGCGATTAAAAAACCCTTAGAATTCGAATCCTTCACCACAGCCCCGTACATCCCGCCCAGTTTAGACCCCGCCTTTCTGACTCAGACTTCGCACAGGCGCAGAGGAGAGCGAGCACAGCCTTTGGGGATTGGTAGTTTCTTCAAGGGCAGGTTACCTCGAGAAGAGAAGGAAAGGATAGCAACAGGGACTACAAAATCCAGCGTCCTCCGAATTGGGTGGGCGGTGAGAAGTAGAGGGAGGATAAGCCGGGGCTTTTAAACAATAATTTTGAGGCGGCTTGATAGGGGAGTGCCCCAGTGAGTCACTTTTCCAGATGGAGAGGCGGGACTGCGGAAGCAGCTCTGGGGTCCCCACCCTGTAAAGACTGCCGGCGCTCTAGCGGAGTCTTTGCTCTTTCCCTCCCCCCGTGTTTTTCCGGGGCCCTGAGAAGGCCCGGTGCGTGTCCGCGGAAGGCGGAAACAACTGCGGGGACAGTCTCTTTGCGAAGGGGCCTGATTCTCGCCCGCCATGTCTGGAGGCTTCGAACTGCAGCCACTAGACGGCGGCCCTCGGACGGCCCTGGCGCCCGGGGAGACGGTGATCGGTCGCGGGCCGCTGCTGGGAGTAAGTGTAGGAGCTCGGTCGGACGGGGAGAACCGCGTCAGCTCGGGTTCGCACTGCCCGCCCTGTCGGCCCTGCCCAACTGGATTCGAGATGTTTGGGGACGGCATGTGATCCCAGTAAACTTATGTCACCTCAGAAACATCTCCTTAGGTTGCCTTTGAAAAAACACTGATTTGTGCGGTTGCTGTCATCCTGTCGAGGCACCAGATCCGCCCTGTTTGAGCTCACAAACTCAGGATCATTTTTACATTTAGCAATGTAAAGCAAAAATCACAGAACCGATTAGCTTTTCAGGAAAAGTCGTTGTTGATAGTGGAATATTTATTTTTCTGGCCGGTACAGAAAAAGTTTGTCAAACTTTGTTCTTATCTCTTTCAGGTTATTTTTAAAAAAACTTTGGCCAGGCTGCAGGCATGGGCCTTAACTTTTATTGTAATCGTCTGTTCCAAGATTGGCTCTGAGAACTTTACATATTACATACAGTAGTAACTTCTTGAATCCTTTCCCAAACCCCATGAGTTAGGTGTTATTCTCATTGTACAGATGAGAAAATCGAGCCACAGATAATGTGTTGTTAAGTGCTATTGAGTCGGTTCTGACCCACAATGACCCTGTATAGGGTTTTCCAGGAGCGGCGGGTGGATTTGAACCATCGACCTTATGGTTAGCAGTCTAGTTCTTACACTACACCACCACACCAAGACTTCCAAGTCACACATAAAGTGCTACCAAGGCATCTCTTCCTCCACCTTCCTTAAGAGGTTCATGAGTTTTTGTTTTGCGTTTTTTTCAGAAATGTATGTTGCATTTTGTAATTCCTTAGATTTTCCCCTTTCTCCTTCGTGATGGTGGTAGTGGTTGTGTGCTCCTAATGTACCTGTGCAGGGTTTCCGAGGCTGTAAATACGGGAGCAGAAAGCCCCATCTTTCTCCAGCAGAGGGAGGCAGCCCAACGCCTAAACTACTAGGCTACCTGGGCTCTTCCCTTCTCTGTAAATAGATAGAACGTCCCAGGACCGTTCTTGGTTTGGTGCTCACTTTGAACAGTTCATTTCGCAGCGTCATTATGAGTGGGAATCGACTCCCGGGTGCATTAGTACTGTGTGAGAGAAAAAGATGAATGAGACTTAAGACCCTGTCTTCTAGGAGTTTTCACTTGGACTGGGGAGACAGACCTGTGTCTGTGAGCCATCATCAGAGGAGCAAGGAATGTGGACCGTTACTCATAACTAACCTCTGAAGTCTAAGTGGAACCACTGGTTTTAGCATTAGGGTCCTTTTCAGAGCAGAAAAAGGAGTAAACATTCAAGGCTGTGATGCAGAAGTTGGTAGAGATAGAGATATAGAAAGAGAGAGCTTGAGAGTGGGAGGGCAAGATTGAGAGAGAACATGTTTGCCAAAGAGCGATATGCTTGCTGCCGACCATTTTATATCAGTTAATTATCCATGTTAGGAAGTAGCTTTTTTTTTGGTATGTTTTTCTGTGTATATTCTCAACAACAACAACAAAATACATTTTAAAAATAGATTGCAGTGATGAAGTTGAATAAATTACACCTACCTCTAGGCCCTTGAAGTCACACGGAGTCGAACTTCCTTTTCTGTAACGGTTATGGAAGGCAACTGCTGCTGCTTTTTCTTACAGAGGGAATGGGAGATTCAAATCACTGACCTTTGGGTTAGCAGTCATGTATGAAACCCTTATGCCCCCAGGACTACTTATGATATAAATTATAAATAGAAAAACCTCTATTTGACCAACTTAAAGATGTGTTTATTGCCCTTCTTAGCTTTCAGGCCACCACTTGCCTCTCAGGTTGCTGTACTGTGGTGGCTTACATGTTGCTGTGATTCTGGAAGCTACGCCTCTGATGTTTTAAATACTAGGCACTGTTTTGTGGTCGCTATGAGTCAATACCAACTATGAGTCAGTACCAACTATGAGTCAGTACCAACTTGACAGCATCTAACAACAACAATCTTTCAGAGATGACATGATTAATGGTGTTGTTCTCTAACAGTATGAGAATGGTTTTTTCTTAAATTTGTCAGCAGACGTGTCTTTGTATATAATAAAATCTGTCCTAGAGCTTTTCTTTTTAACATTCAATAAATCATATTTTGTTTCATTGCAACCGTTACAATCCTCTCTGTATACCATTAGTCAATAGTATTTACCTTTTTCTCCCTTTTTTTTTGCATGTATAAATACAAAACAGAAAATACATATTCATTTAAATGTTCAAAGGGTACACTTTGCAAGTTAGCCTCTTGCCCACAACCATACACACACAGCCTTTTATCAGTCCATGGGCATAGAAGCTGTCTGCTTCCATTAAGATTGTTGTTGTGAATTGCCGTTGAGTCAACTCCCACTCATAGCTACCCTGCATAGGGTTTCTGAGGAGCGGTTGGTGGGTTTGAACTGCCAAACTTGTGGTTCAAAGTCCAGTGCTGAACCTACAGCGCCATAGCAGGAGTCATCATTTTGATTTTTATTCTCAGGTAATCATTCTGTTGTTAAGCCAGGGATGTATTGGAATTAGACGTAATATCCCAAATGCATGGAAGGAATACTCTGAACAACAAACAAAATACCTTGTGGTCTTTTAGATCTTGGAACTGACAGATGAGCTGATTTCTTCTCTCGTTAAACTATGACAGGAGAGCTGCTGATTCAAACAATATAAAATCCAGTGATATCTGGATAGTGTGTGAGAGAAAACAGGAAGTTCATTGTACATTGTGGTGCATCTGAAATGATTATTAATGATAAGGATTATTTATGTATTCTCTTGCTTAGGTAGTGGTGTTTTCCTGAGACAGGTTTCACAAGTAGTAAAACACTTAGACTATCTTTATGCCTTTATAGCAGGTTGACACAACATTCTACTTTTAGAGAGCAGAGCACAGTGAAATGAAAATACTAGTTTCTAACAGACTATTTCTTAGAGCAGTTTTCACCTTACAAACTCACTCTGTGCAGAGCTTCTATGCATTTCCTTCCCCACCTGCACATTGCTTCTATTATTAACAGCTTGCAATTGTGTGGTTTGTTTGTTATGATTGATGAAGCAATATTAATACATTGTTATTAATTAAAGTCCATAGTTTCCATTAAGGTTCACTTATTGCATTGCAGTTTATGGTTTTTGAAAAATGCATAAGGTATTGTGTCCACCATTATAGCATCACTGAGAATCTTTTCACTGCTCTAAAAGTGTCTTCTACCCATTCATCACCTGCTCTCCCCTGGCAACCATTGATCTTTTTACTGTCTCTCTAGTTTTGTCTTTTCCATAATGTCATATGTTGGGAATTATACAACATGTAGTTTTGTGTTTCTTTTTTTTTTCTTTTTCTGATTGGCCTCTTTCACTACTAATCAATATGCATTTTAAGTTTCTCCATGTGTTTTTGTAGCTTGATAGCTGAATAATGTATCAATGCATGGATGACCACAGTTTATCCATTCACTTATTGAAAGGTATCTTAGTTGCTTCTAATTTTTGGTAATTATGAATGAAGTCACTATCAACATGTCATAAGGTTATAATGAACATGTTTTACATGCATTTAGGTAAATACCTAGGTGTGTGATTGCTGCATCACAGAGCACGGTGACATTCAATGATCCTTGTGTCCTTGGCTCACTATGAGTGGGTTGGTGCCCTTGGCTTCAGAGTGAGTATTAACCAACCCAAGAGCTTTGTTTACTTCATCATTGTTATTGTTAAGTGCCGTTGAGTCAGTTAAGTGCTATTGCAGTCCAGCGCATTGGCCTACAGGTTAATTACTGGGTTGTAATTCTGTTTTGGAGTCCTGGTGTGGCGTTGTGGATTAATGTGCCATACTGTAAAGCCATTTGAACTGCAAGTTTGGCAGTTCAAACTCACCAGTCGCTCCTTGGAAACCCTGTATAGGGTCGCAACTGACTCAACGGCGCTTAATAACAACAACAACAACAATTGTGTTTCAGGAGAGCTACCTCCTAGGAGGTTCTACAGCATAGCATCTCAAGTACTAGGCCAAATTATTTGCTTTATGATTTTTCTTTAAAGCTGATTACACTTTTCCTTAAAGCTGATTAAGTAAAACTATTAGTTTCTGATTTCAAACTGTTCTTATTCTGTTTTGGTAGCAGAGACTGTATGATCAGTTCCTTTATGATCATCTATTTTCCTCCAAGGGAATAAGATGTTGCTGTTGTTGTTGTTAAGTGTTGTCGAGTTGTCCCCGACCTGTAGTGACCCTGTATAGAGGAGTGGCTGGTGAGCTTGAACTGCCAACCTTGAGGTTCAGACCAACTTTGCAGTCCAGCCCATTAACCCACAGCACTACACAAGGACCTCTAGTGGCACTTGGCTGCTAACCGAAAGGGGGGCGGATCAAGCAGTCTACTCCTGTAAAGACTGCAGCATAGGAAATTCCACTGAGCAGTTATACTCTGTCATATAGGGGGTTAGGAGTTAGAATTGTAACTCCCTGTTGTTGTTGTTGTTAAGTGCCATTGAGTCGGTTCCGACCCATAGCAACCCTGCATAGGGTTTCCAAGGCTATAAATCTTTATGGGAGCAGAAAGCCTCATCTTTCTCCTGCGGAGCAGCTGGCAGTTTCGAACTGCTGACCTTGCAGTTCACAGCCCAGTTCGTAACCACTATGCTACCAGAGCTCCTATAACTCCCTGGCACACAACAATAAAAAATACCTAGTGAGATTTAGTAAGTACAGATGCATTGACTGGACTATTTTGATTTTAAAAGAAGCCCTCAGTTGGGAGGAAGGCGGTGCTCAGGATTCTAGTATAGAGTTCAGCTGGTATCTCTTTACCGCTTCTAAGACTGCTGTTAAGTGGCCCATGAAGTTGACACAAGTCACCTTCTCTGGGCTGGGAATTCTACATTTCCTCTCTGGCAGAATGCTACCTGCCTGTCCTGAAATGTTGGTTATCTGGAGCAACACCCATTTCTCCCAGCCAATCTTGTTCCTGAGTATGTGCTT